CCGTGAAAAGTGAAAGAAAGACATGAATGAACGAACCCAACCCTGCAAGCGAGCGTACGCAAAGCGCCTACACGTGATTCCACCTCTCCCCCCGAAAAACGGAAGGCAGGCAGGCAGGCAGGAAACCACCCTTCCCTTCCCCCGGCTCCCCACGTTGCCCCCTTTCCAGCAGGGGGGCCTCGCAGAAGAGACCCCGATCTCTCGCGGAGGTTTTTTTCTGCGGGAGGAGAGGACGGCCATTTCCGTCCCGGCCGCCGCGAGCGTCTCGCAGCCCTCGCCGCGGCGAGAGACGCCCTGCCAGCCTCGGCCACCGCCAGCCCCCTCCGGCGAGGGCGATCCGCGCTCCGGCGGCGGGAGGGCGCTGGCATGAGGCCTCTCCGGGGAAAGCCGGGGCTGGTGGCCGCCCTCCCCTTGACCCGCAGCCGCAGCCCGTCGCCGGAGGATAAACGGAAAGCTTTCGCAGAGCGCGGCGCTCAGCGCCTCTTAACTCCGCCCCTCCTCCTCTGCTCGCCCGTCTGCCCGGGCGGCTCTGCTGCAGGAGCCTCGGAGCACAGCCGCTGAGCTGCGCTGGCTTTTTGCTTCTCCTCGGCAGCTTCTCCGCCACTCGGGGCAAAACTTGCGACTCCGCTGCCTTTTCTCTCCCCCGCTTTCCTTCCGCGGCCCTTGGCAAAACGTCAAACGCGCCCTGCTCTCTCTGTATTAGCGAGTGTGTGTTTTGGAGGAGTGGGGAAGGGGGGCACTGAGCTCCCTGCACCAACCAGCCGCACTTGAGCGAGACGAGCCGATGGGGGAAAAAGGGGGCTTGCTTGACAAACAACCACAATTGCGGAGCTCAGCCGGAGAGAGAAACTACGACTCCGCTCGCTTTCCATTCACAACTAGGACTCTGCCTGGATTGAACCAACCAAGCCAATTCATCACAGCCTTTCGGACCTCAGTGATTTGGGGGTTTAACCAACCCCCCCTTTCTCTCCCTCCCTCCAATTTCATAATTACGGATGCAATTAAGAACCGGTGGTGGTAATTCACGTGGGAAGAAGCTTCAGTTACATCCTTTCCCTTTTCCATTCCTCTTCCAGGTTCGCTTCGGCTACATTAAAGGGGGGGGGGGGGTCTAAATAATCGCCTTTGTCGCACACACCCCACCGCCAACCCCTGAGCCCTAACCTTTGAACGGGAGGGGGGGCAGGCGAGAAGTGAACTTGAGAGCGGTTTACCTGCATTGGGACAGCAAGGAAGAAACAGGGAGCGAGCGAGCGAGCCTGCAATCGCATGTGTGAATCGCTCTCCCGGCGCTGCAGCCTCCAAGTCCTCTGACACACACAGGTAAGAGCAAAAACCACACACGCGCACACACACACACACACACCACACACACCAGCTGCGGATGCAGGAACAAACTTGGGACGACTGGCCGAGCGAGACAGCGAGAGATCCAGGTCCGTGTCTCTCCAGCTCCGTTTACGGTCTGTTCGAGTATCTCTGCAGCTTTTGGGTACCGTCTCGCTTTGTGACTAATGACCTTGCGCAGAGTTGTGGGTTGGTTGTGGCTCCCCCCCTCCCCTTTCTTTTTCTTCTCCCTCGCCTCTTTTTCTTTGAAGAAGAAGCCTCTTCTCCGGAGAAGGAGTTGAGCATCGGAGACGGCCTCCGAAGATGGATTTGGGCTCGATCTTTGGGACCAAGGGGGATGGCTCGAAAGCTGCTGCGTAAACCAAGAACACTCTCCCCAAATACATAAATAGCTTCAGCTGTCAGCCCCGGAGACGGTGTATTTGGTTGGGTTCTCCGGAGCCTTAAAGAAAAAAAACCACCTACCACTATCTATCGCTAAGAGGATTTGGGGCTGCCTCGTCCCCCCGCCTCCTTTTCCGCCGGACACCAGCGCTCTTTGAATGAAGCGATTGACATCCCCCACCCACCCCGCCTTTCTGCGCGGAGCGGTGGAGAGGCGAGAGCGAAGACCTCGGCGGAGAACGGCGGCTAGAAGTGAGCGAGAGAGAGCCAGGCGGGGAGAGAGAGCGAAGTGAACTGGACTGGAGAAGGAAAGAGCGAGAGAGAGAGAGAGAGAGGCGGTTTCAGCTGCCCGGGGCTGGGTGGGGGGAGAGGAAAAGAGAGGCTGGATCTGGTCCGTCCCTGCTGTTGCTCCTCCGGCTTTTTCTCGCAAACCTTGCAAAGTAATTCCAGTGCCGTTGGAGGAGGAGGAGGAGGAGGAGGAGGAGGAGGAGGAGGCGGCGAAGGAGGAGGAAGAGGCGGAATTTCTCCCCAACCTATCTGCCGGGATGCAGCTTTTTTGAAAAAAGCCAGCCACACACTTGCCCCGTGAACTGTGAGGAGACAGCAACTGCAGAAGGCAAGAGCTAGCGAGGCGGGGGAGAGCCTCCGGCCAGCCCTCGGTCTGTCTACCCCCTCCTCCCTGCTTCTTTTTACCTACTGCACCAAAGAGGATGAGAAGCGAAGTTTTTTTGCAAAAGCCGAGAAGGATTTTATAATTGAACTTCAGCCCGGCGCCCAGCCTTTGCTCTCGGCTGGCCAAGGAACGGCGGGGGGTGGGGGAGAGGGGTCGGGAGTGACGGTTGCCTTGCAGGGCTGCCGGGGGTCTGCGGCCGGGGAGGGGGTCCAGCGCGATGTGGAAGATGCCGGCGCTCCTGGGTTTGGTGCAATCGCGCTACTGCTGCTGCCGCTGCTGCTGCTGGTTTCTGCTGCTGCTGCCGCCGCCGCTCTGGATCAGCCTGGCCGCGGCTAAGCAAGTGCTGAGGTACCGCTTGGACTAGGCGGGGCCGGCCGACATCCGGATCGGCAACGTGGCTTCGGACCTGGGGATCGTGACCGGCTCGGGCGAGGTGGCGTTCAGCCTGGAGGCCGGCTCGGACTACCTGAAGATCGACAACATGACGGGCGAGCTGAGCACCACCGAGCGGCGCATCGACCGCGAGAAGCTGCCGCAGTGTCAGATGATCTTCGACGAGAACGAATGCTTCCTGGACTTCGAGGTGTCGGTGATCGGGCCCTCGCAGAGCTGGGTCGACCTCTTCGAGGGCCGGGTCATCATCCTGGACATCAACGACAACACACCCACCTTCCCTTCCCCGGTGCTCACCCTCACCGTCGAGGAGAACCGCCCGGTGGGGACCCTCTACCTGCTCCCCACAGCCACCGACCGCGACTTCGGCCGCAACGGCATCGAGCGCTACGAGCTGCTGCAGGAGCCCGGTGGGGAGGCCGGCAGG